GCGCTACTGGCCTGCCGTCGGCCATTTTAGAGCGATTTTGTTTGTCGTAAAAAAGTAAAAAGAAATTAAAAACCTTTATCATCCCATAGGTAAGCATACAGTATATAGTAAGCATACAAAACTCAATTACAACTATGTCTATTTACAACTATCGAGGTATGTAATTAACAGTTGTTTAATTGTGTTCCTATCGATACAAGAGACTCGCGGCGCGGCGTTACCCAACACCATTGTTATTATAACGTAAAGTCGTTAAATACAGATATACGCGTGAGTCGTACACAAAGTCGTAAAATAAGACAGGCCGATATGTACAGTCACAATAAAAAGTGGAACACAAAGTTATCGTTTGATGACTTACCTTACCATCGTGATCAGTCTTACAAAAAGTCGTCAATAATGGCTGATGCGTACACAAGAAGTGTGATGCTTACTTTACGTTACCATACACAGTTCTAGATAGACGCGACCATGAAATATCTATTGCTGAGAGTGCAATGATGAAGCATTTTATATCGTACAGTGAAATGAACCTTAACATTTACATGATAAAATCTATGATCAATTGTTATGGATTTAATTGATAACATATGGTGGTTATTGGACGATCAATCGATCAATTGGTCGCGTGGAAACTTATTGAGTTTGACATAGACATAGCGATCTAAATAAATAGTCAATTAATGAAATAGACAAGTTCTTTATTGAAACGAAGTCCAAACTCTGCAGTCTGTGAACACGTACAGGATCGCCCCCGTCACTACATCAGATTTGATAGACCGCAGATCCTCGCTAAAGAACACCGATTCCTTCCAAGGATGATTCGCGAGGCTATTGAAATCAAAAAACATCCTAATTTCAATAGAGAAGATGGCTGGGTGCTACCATCTGCTTGGGATCCTATAATAAATAAAATTAAATCCCAACCCAAGCATACAACTGCAAGACTTCAAGATACCATAAGTTCATACTGCATAGATCGGAACAAAAGTTAAATTTTAATCTATGGTAACCGCGGTTAACTATGACATATGGACGTTGAACATCTCAGTCCTGCCCGTGACCATGAGTGCTGTAAAGCGTTCGAAACGTCGGGTAATTAAAAAGTTAAATATACGCGACAAATTCCGTAATGAAACTAGTATTATTCCAAGCTTGGTTATAAACTTGATGACGATAATTTGGTGTCGATGGTCAGTCCGTCAGTACGGTATCTGCACAGGACATCTTATAACACCAAAAGATTTCACAACCCCCCCCCCCCGAAAACACTCCCTAAAGTATCCGATGTAATGACAAAAACTGTTGTAATCTCGAACGCAATAGACTTTGATAATAACAACACGCCTAGATTCAAATTCTCTGTAAAAGCCTGAAGTTAGAAAGTTTGCGATGTTTCGAGTGCGTGTTTCGGAACTCTGTTTCTGAACTCTCTCTGGTCGTGTCGGTTAACCGGCCCATCGGATTATGAGAGTGAAAGATAGAGAGTGTACCTGTGCTTGCGCATACACTTGGGCACTATAATCCTGTCCTGCGCCGATGGCTAGTCTCCGTTGAGGCAGGCCGCCGTGACCGAAATGCGGTCCGGAGGACATTATAATCGGTTCTTATTCTTTAGTCTTTTTACTCAAGTCTGCAAATTTTCAGATAATTCAGACGTTCGGATCTGTGTGAGTACAGTTACAAAATACAGTACAGTTATAAAATTCCATTACATTCATACATGCATAGTACATTCATATAGCTCAAGTTGTTAAACTATGTTAAAAAGAATAAAAAAACACAAGCTTCCATTCCATACGACATTCAAAAATAAAATATAAAGTAAACTACGTTTTCATACACATTAAGGATATTAAACAAGCACAAGAGAACGCTGTGGCCATCAACTCCGATGTAAAAGGTCATCGACTCCTTTCAGAGATGTATTTTTATTTAACGATTTTTATTATGTTAATTTACAAGATTGTAGGACTCTCTTATTTCTGTCGCCAAGTAGTTTAGAAGGGTATGACAGCCTGTCGTCTTCAAGGATGACAACGTACCTGAAGTACTCTGAGATTATCCACGGATGCCTAGTATGGACTGTAATAACAACAGTTCCAAGCTACTATCAAGTGCGCCGGTATCTCCTTTGTTTTCTTCTTCTTCATCATCAACCCTAAAAGCTCACTGCGGGACGTGGGTTTCTCCTGTTGCAGACAGTTAGGGGACGGTAGTCGTCACTTCAACGCCGCTGGTCGTAGCTGGTTTAGGTATTATACGTCTGGCGGAAACAATTTGATTATACTGCCATCTATCGGCAGCTTTATGGTAGTTTTTTGATATTTCCCAAGTCACCTCTTACGATACGTAGGAGAAGTAATAAGGTTAAAGCTCTTTTGTTGTCCTTACATATTATAGTATTTGGTAGAGCCATGCTGTAGTTTATTACGGTATATACGGTATATATTACAGTTATAGCACTAATGTGAAGGATCACGCTCTCACGAAATATCAGCGTAAATCAACTGCTTAAAGCTGCCGTATTCCGGATGAATAGTGTAGAGAACTGGAAACCCTTTCAACTAGAAACGAGGCATTCCATCTTAGTACTCAGGGATGACAACGCAAATGCATTTTGATTCTTAATCAAGAATATCTATGGGCCACATTGTCCCCTTACCATCAGGTGGACAGTGTGCACTTTTGTCATCCTTACTCTTTATTGTAAGAAGTTTAGTTGCTGTCGTAAATATAGTATTTTAACCAAGTTGCAACCTTATCTAGATCGATATAAGTTGCTAGACCATGTTTATTCTTATATCAAGGCACTTGATACTCATCCTCTGAGAAAAGAAAGAACCGGTGGTCTTGAGCATTTTGTAAGAATATTACATCTACCTACGTCGGTATTTGTTTGTACTCGTAAGTATACCGTTTGGCGGCATTAGGAAATATGTACACTATTCAGTAATCATACCGTAGGTGTCAAATATACGACGGACGGAAATGAAACAGGAGATGTGAAGCAGCATCTCCCATATAACACCTCATTAAAAAAAAACTGCAGTTGCCAACTCGCGTGCCGAGCGTTGCAACGTTTTTTTATAATATTAAAGTGATAAACGAAGTTATGGTCTCCACTCACCCGATGGTAACTTCTGAGGACTAAGATGGAATGCCTGTACAACCAGAACACAGCAGTGCAAGCACAGCTGTTTAGCTCCAGAAATAAAACTGTGACAAATCCTATGAGACAAGGTTTGGGGTAGGCCAATGTTCAGCAGTTGAATTTTGACGGGCTGTAACGTAAATTAATTATCTATGCAATTATTGATCATATAATATGTTATTTTTAATCAGCATAATTTTTATAACCAGCCAATAACATTCCTATAAGTTCTGTCTTCTATCTGTAATCAACACGCAAACATAGAATTTCACACTGCATGATCGTTTCAAATGTAATGTGCCAAGTGACATCTCCGACAATGTTTGTGGAGAAAGCCCCCAGCTGACTCGCATACTAACGGTATCGTGCCGCAAGTCACTAGTGGTAGCGTAGAAATTGATATTAAAAAAATAAAAAATTTCAAGTACATATATTATTCTGTTACCAAAATACTATAAGTAGCAAATTTAAAAAAGAAAAGTATTAAAAATTATAGATAAAACGACTGCATGTGAATTTAATTATAGTTATCTGTCTTGTTATTTATATAGCACCACTGTTGCCCTTAATAAAGAGAACAGCGAAATAAAATAACTAACGTCGAAAATATTGTTGTACATAATTCAAAACAAGAAATTAAAATCGAGAGCCACCTCTTATTACGTCGGTAAAGCATTAATAAAACTTAAATTAGGTACAAAATTAGCGTAGCCTCCCGTGCAATGAATACTGCTTAATTTACTTAAGGAACCATTAACGCACCTACACACGCCATCTTGCAGTTAAACGTGCCACGCGATTATGTTATACAACAACATGCAATTATAGTCATTATAATAGATTTACCTGATTTATTACTCGTTGCCATATATTTAAGGTCACAGCTTACCTTGCAAAAATGCTAGCGCGACTTAGAAATATTTGTTTCCACAGTTTTAAGACCTTATGGCGGCTGTACACGCTCGTCTCATCACGTGCCTCTCGTCGTGTATAGGTTCGACGAGAGCACACTATGTACATACTCGTTGTATCGCTTAAACTCTGGATAATCGCTGCGATGGACCCAGAAAAAACTGTTGCTGTGTTTTGTTATTAGTTATTATAATTTATTAAACATTAACTAAAAAAGAAAATTATAAGCCATAACGAGGAAGAAGATGGTGGATGGTGATGGTTTGTTAGAGGTGACGAAGGAGTGTGTACAAACCGCATGTGTTGTCTATCAGACTCAGTAAAGTACGATAGCACAAGGTCGGCCCCTGCTTCGCAGTACTCCCACCGTTACTCTGCACAAATACATTCGTTTCCCAAGTGTAAGGTCTTTAAACTGTGGCGCTTCCACAGTTCAATTAGTACGGTCTGTTTAGATTATAAACGTAACAGTACCTAATTATTAAATAATTGAGTTAAACTAAGGATTATGCTATGACTCGTTGTATTTTTAATTGAAATAATTAGATACATATTTTCTAAGATTTCATCAAGAAATAAAAGTTAAAAGTTAGAAGTTACATCTTAAATACGTCCCACTGCTGGGCACAGTCCTCTCATTCTATAACAAGGGTTTAGGGCAAATAAATGTCCACCGCTCTGCCCCCTCCCATGATGTTTTCATTCACGCCAAGCACGTGGTAAATCAGCACTTAAAATTGCAATCAGCAATTTTATTAGTGCCGGCGGGGATCGAACCCGGGTTGCGCGCGTGCTGTGAAATTTATAGCGAACACTTAGCCCCTGAGCTAGAAACAAATTATAATTTGAATAAGAATAATATTTTCTAACAAATATTTTTTTTTCTTTTCAGAATGCCGGTTATGTAATCAACAAACGTTATACGAAGAGCAAAATGTCACCAGTATGTCACAGTTTTGTGCAGAATGCGTGGAAGAAAGATTTTTGCTCAAACTGTTTCAAATCACGCGAAGAACACGTTAAACAGGATAAGACGACTGAAGGCGGCAAATATTTGGCTACTCCATTACAAAACAGAATTGGATTCTTTAAGAAAACTCCACCGAGTATTTTAAAGAATCAAACGAAGAAAATTAATAAACGGAACGTTCGGTTTCCGGAGGAAGTAAGCAGTGTTATTGGCTATGGAGGAGATGATTGGTCCGACGGAGAGGAATTTGAAGTTTCAGAAGACAATGAGGATGAAGACATATTTCCAGATACGGAAGAAGAGAGAGAACTCTATAAAATAACAAAATCTAATACAGATTTTAATACAGTAAAAGCTAATTTATTAGGAGATTCAGTTGCAAAGTCATATACTTCATTAATGTTAGGAAAAGTGCAAACAGATTCCGACGGCAAGAAAAAAACATTAATGGTTTCAGTAACTCCTTTTGGTCAAGAAAATAAAAACTCCAATGTAAAGACTCATACTCGCAAACCGGCCGTTATACATATAAATGAAGCACAGGCTGAAGAAGCAGCTAGTAATTTTAAAACAAACATCATCCTGACATCATACATAAAGGAATCAGAGACTATAGTTACTTCGGAAAGCGTTAGATCAACAGAAGGTATTTGTACCGAGAAATCTTTATTAGAAGAAATATCAGAAACGTTACAACAAAACAGGATGAATAACGGTAATAATATTAATCTATCGCATAACAACAACAATAAACCTACAGTTATCGAAGAAAAGAGAAAAGAAAGCATGCAAGATGAAGTGGAGAAGAAAGAAATGACTGAAACACGTAAAAATGGCATCGTTAGAAAATCTCCATTAATTAAAACCCAAGAGAGGCCAAAAGTTAATCTCAATAGATCAGAATTTAAGTTTTGTAAAATCAATATAGAAAACAATAGCGTGGATTCTGCAGTAGGCACTTTGAATTCGACAGCTAATAACTCACTGACGTCAGACGATGAGAGTTTTAGCGCTAAAACAGATTCAGATAATGACGATAGTGGACATTTCTCTGAAACAAATAAATGCGAGGAAACTGTAAAGATAAAGGTATTTAATGAAAGTGAGAAAAGCAACAAAATATCTCCGATCAGACGGCTGAGACAAGCAGACGGAAAAGCGGGTAGTGGTTACAGCACCTTCCAAAGTCCAATAATTGATATGCCACCAATTATACCCAAACAATCCGATTCTGTCTTCTCTGCTGAAGCTAGTCGAGAATTAGCGGGCGAACCTGACGGAAGAGCTGATCCTGACGAGTCTAGCGAAGCACCAGCATTACCCAATAGTCCTGTACCTACTATGGACCCACGACCATCTTTCTTACACGGCATTATAACTGATATTATGCCTTCTAAGCCCGCTGTACCAGAAAAACCAAAACTCCCTACTAAACCAGTTATTAAACAAACAACTAAGAAGAGTATGACTACTTCTAATCAAATCATACATACGCATGGTACAAAGCAAATTGAAGAAGAGAAGTCACGATATTCAAGCGAAGAAAAGAATAATCAGATAAAAGAAGTACATCAAGTAAAAACAGAAACAATTTATTACGCTAAGCCAGTGCTTACTAAGCAAGATAGCGACACGTCACTCAATAGTCTTTGCAAGCGCAAAGCACCAACCCCACCGATTTCGCCTACGGAGGAATACCCTAACAATCTATACCAAAGAAATCAAAGTGGATTCATGAAATCAGATTCACCAGTCGTCAGAGAATTGGAGAAGAGGGAAAGAGCCGTAATTTCGTCATCTCCGAAAACGAGAACACTTGAAGATATAGACAAAAAGGATTCTCAGCCCGAACCGGCGCCTAGAAGAAGTATTTCCTTGTCCCATGACAATTTACTTCTAGATGATAAACGAAAAGGCAAACTAAAGTTTTCTATAAAGAAACTCTTACGTATCGGTTCTTCAAAAGACCTGGATAAAAAGGAGTTGAGTGTAGCCACAGTTACGAAAGTTTCACATAAAACAGAAGAAATTTACGATCTGACACCGAAGCCGAAACCGCGACTTGTCATCATCCATCCTTTAGACATTAACGGATCGAGTGTCGAAGTGGTGAAATCAAATTGCGAAATTTCGGAAAGTTTGCGTCGCATGAGTCATGACGACGTTTCAATTTACAGCGGATGTAGCTCCGTGGCCGATGTCGAAACGGCTAAAATCTTAAGTAAACCGCCACCGCCTCCGAGGACATCCAGTGACGATGCAAATTCCTCGACCATTCCAAAACCAGCACGTCCTCCGCCACCTAAATCAGCCGCTCTACAAAAAAAGCAAAAACAACAGACTTGGTCGCCAACGCTGAGCAAAACCGATAACATTTATGCCAATTTAGGTAAGTAAGCAATATTTGCACGCACAAAAATAGATATTTGCGGTTTAATAGAATAAAAATTTATTAAAACATCAGCCCATCAGTCTTTGCCAAAACAAACCGGAATTATAAGTAGCCTATAGTGTAAATTTATATAAGGAATATTCATAAAAATTCAATTTTATTTAGCTTGTGGATATGATAGTAATAGATGTGCCATGTAAAGATGACGTAAGAGTATTTCATTCCGTGGGCGTCGTAAGAGGCGATAAAGGGAAATAAGGTGGGTAATAAAACTCCGTGGTAACAAAAAATAACGGGGAATGCGGCATAGTTGAGAGTAGAGTTTGACTCCAAACAAGTATTCGTAGGTAGTTTTTAGTAGTTCCGGGTCTGGATGTTTTTGCATGTGCACATTGTTTGTAAAAAGACCTCCACAATACAGAATAAACTCCTAGTGTGATCGTAACGTTTTTTTAAATATTCGAATCAGAAATAAATGAACATGCTACATAAAGTTATTTCCCTATTCCAGGCGAGATAAGGTCAGCGCTGGCGCCAAGAAAACCTGAGCGCACGGCAAGTATGCGCGAAAGGGAATCACATTTAGAACTCCTAAAACGCAGAGCCCCTCTCGATGACGATAAAGACGAATTGGATGGACAACAAGAGCTTGTGCAGGCCACAAACGATACAGTCATCCACAGCTACGACGACGTGTACAATTCAGGGAAATACGACGAGGAAGCTTGCGATTCAGCGAAGAACAGCGATAGTGATTACGAATATGTTCACCACGCTCGTTCAAGTTCACCGGAATGCGACGCCGCTATAAAGCCCAGTAAAGTCAATATGGAGATCAGACCAGACACAAAAATCGAAGAAACTAACGTTGAATTCCCCAAATATAACAACAGCTTCAACAGGTCGTCCCTCCCTTACTGCGGTAGTGAAACCGAATCGGAAATATATTCGCCATATAGCTTTTATAATTCAAACGACAATATGGACGGCTCCACCAACGACGACTATCAAAATGAAATGACACCAAAAACCACAACTAATAAGTTAAGGGTGAGGAAAGGGAGAAGTGTCGTTCACAAGAATCTTGAGGATAATTATGGAGCTGTTGTTATTGCTAATCATGAAGCGTTAGCGCAAGTTTTAGAACAGGTAATTCATTTAAATAATCCTAATTTTAATTATCTTTATTCATTTGTTTACTATTTATTGCTGGGCGGACTTGTTTAGCAGCTCTATCAGTCAAACATAGGTGAATTGAAAGTTATAGTAGATGCTATATTAACAAGCGATTAAAAAAATTAAACATTTTTTTATACACCACGTTTTTATTTCGTATTTTTACATTGTCATCCAATATTAGTCACTAACTAGTCGGTTTAAATTCTACATTTGATTTGACCCAAACTGACATACACGAGTCTTAATAAAAACGTTGTAAAAAAAGATAGAAAGATAATAAATTAATAATTAAGATATAATGCAAATATTGTTTTATATTTTTATTATTTTTTATCAATCAAAAAGTAAAAAGAGTGAAGCACCTACCTATACTAAATGCATTAAAAGTTAACTGCATAGGATGACCCCGATTAAATATTGAGATAAACAATTAGTTGTAGTGTTCTAATACTAATTAGCAAGCAATTAAATTTATTTTATAGAAGAAAAAAATACTATTCACGAAGACTAACTTGTTTGTAATTTATAAGACTCCTTTGTATTTCAAACACTTATTCATCGATTCTAAAGTATATCTATTATGGAAAAAACCTGCTGTGAGTATAGCTTTTTGAACGTGTTACCTGTTATAGCTATTATATGGCTGCAGCACAAATGGGTGGGCTCGTTCGGAGTAGGACAACACTCGATACCAGCGTCAAATAGCAGTTTAATGCTGCTGTGTTTCGTATAGGGAGTGTAGAAAACCCAAAATCCTTTTGGCCTTCTATCCTAGTTCTCAAGGGCTACAGCGCATCTACATTTTTGGTTCTTTTAATTGAGGATATTTTTAGTGATCTTTGGGCCAAAGCATCTTCTTAACATCAGGTGAACTGTTTGCACGCTTGTCAGCTTTTTTCTATAAAGAAGCTCAATAAATACCAGTGTATTAAACGACAGATTATGTCATATAAAATTTCGATTTTTTTTTCAAAAATAAATTACGTCACATCACAGAAATCTAAATAATAAGGTACGTTTTATAGTTAGAGACCAGGGGATATAATAAAACGTTAAGGATAATTATCCACAAGTCTCTCGTCAACAACGTTGTAAAGATTGGGAGTGTGTCGACGAGGGTCGCGTACCTGATACTCAGAATCACCAAACGGTATTCGCTGAAGGTCATACAGGTTTACGCACCAACCTCGGCACATCTCAATGAGGAGGTGGAGGAAATGTATGAGGATATTTCCAGAGCCATGCATTCCTCCAAAACTCACTACACGGTGTTGATTTGAGACTTCAACGCAAAACTGGGCACAAGAGAAAGCGGTGAGCTGAAGGTGGGGAAATTTGGAGTAGGGCAACGGAACCTTTCTCCAGATGAACTCTTTCTTCCAGAAGCGGCCCCACAGGAAGTGGACCTGGTCGAGCCCCGACGGTTCGACAAAAAATGAGATTGACTTCATTATGACGACCAGACGCCAACTGTTCAGTGATGTCTCAGTGATCGCAAGGGTGAAAAATGGCAGCGATCACCGAATGGTTAGAGGCACACTGAACCTAAACGTTAAGTTGGAGAGGTCTCGTCTAATGAAGTCAACGCTCCGTCCCCCCTCGTGCTCTAATCCAGAATCCCGAAACCTTTCAGCTCGAGTTACAAAACCGCTTTCAGTGCCTAGAGGATTGCAATGCAGTGGACGATATGAATGACAAGCTCGTGGAAACTGTCCATGCGGTCGGAGCTAAGTTCTGCAAGACCCGCCGCAGAAGAACACAAAAACTCTCTGATCACACTCTTAATCTCATGGCTGTTAGACGGGAGATGAGGCTGCAATCGTCAACAGATTTGAGAGCATACAGGCAGCTGAACAGACAGATCTCCAAATGCATGCGGCGAGACTTACGCAACTTTAATACTGCTCGTATTAAAGAAGCGATCGAGCGGAACCAGGGCTCCAAAGTCTTTGCCAGAGATCTGTCTGCCAGAAGGAGCCAACTGTCAAGGCTGAAGACTGAGTGTGGTAACATCGTTTCCGGGACACCTGAGATTCAGAGTGAGATTGAGAGGTTCTATGGGCAGCTGCACACATCATCGTTGGAGCCACACGCAAGTGTGAGTAACGATCCAAGAGCAAGTCTTATCCGACACTATTCCGATGATATCCCGGACGTCAGTCTGAGCGAGATTAGAATGGCTCTCCACCACCTTAAAAACGGCAAGGCCCCGGGCGAGGATGGAATTACAGCGGAGCTTCTGAAAGCGGGTGGAACACCGGTACTTGAAGTCCTTCAGAAGCTCTTCAATTCCGTCCTCCATGTTGGCATTACTCCGGAGGCGTGGAGCAGAAGCGCGGTGGTCTTGTTCTTTAAGAAAGGCGACAACGCTCTCTTGAAGAACTACAGACCGATTTCCCTTCTGAGCCGCGTCTACGTGCTGTTTTCGAGAGTCATTACGAATCGTCTCACACGCAGACTCGACGACTTCCAGCCTCCCGAACAAGCCGGTTTTCGAAAAGGCTTCAGTACCATAGACCACATACATACCCTTCGGCAAATTGTACAGAAGTCCAAAGAGTACAATCTGCCACTTTGCCTGGCGTATGTGGACTATGAGAAAGCCTTTGATTCCGTCGAAATTTGGGCGGTGCTACAGTCTCTTCAGCGGTGCCTAGTTGACTGTCGATATATTGAAGTGCTGAAGTGTTTACAGTTTACAGTAGGGCTACGATGGCTATCCGAGTACAGAACCAGAGTACGAAACCTATCCAACTGCAGAGAGGTGTAAGACAGGGTGATGTTATATCCCCGAAACTCTTCACCGCTGCGTTGGAAGACGTTTTAAAGCTACTGGACTGGAAAAGATACGGTATTAACATCAATGGCGAGTACATCACTCACCTTCGATTTGCCGACGATATAGTCCTTATGGCAGAATCGCTGGAGGACCTTAGCACTATGCTCAATGACCTCAATGGTGTCTCCCAACGGATAGGTCTTAAGATGAACATGGACAAAACAAAGATCATGTTTAATGTCCATGTCACACCTATGCCGGTAATTGTTGGGAGCACTATGCTCGAAGTTGTTGACGAGTACGTTTACCTGGGACAAATAGTCCGACTAGGTAAGTCCAACTTCGACCGAGAGGTCAATCGACGGATTCAACTCGGCTGCGCAGCGTTCGGGAAATTACGACACATCTTCTCATTAGGTATACCTCAATCTCTGAAAACTAAAGTGAACAACCAGTGCGTGTTGCCAGTGATGACTTACGGATCTGAGACGTGGTCCTTCACCGCTGGACGTATGAGGACGCTCAAGGTCGCTCTTCGAGCTATGGAGAGGGCTATGCTCGGAGTTTCACTGCGTGATAGACTCAGAAATGGGGATATCCGCAGTGAAACCAGAGTGACCGACATAGCCCAACGGATTAGTAAGCTGAAGTGGCAATGGGCCGGCCATATAGCTCGAAGAACCGATAACCGATGGGGAAGAAAAGTTCTCGAGTGGCAGCCTCGTACCGGTAGGCCAAAGACTATATAACCACTTGACTGCGCATACAGTGCCCCGACGCTCGAAAACTATTAGTATTTTGTCGCCTATGCATCGGCTATGGTAGTATTAACCATTTTAGTATTGTCCAAGTGTTAGACCTGTGTGCACGCTAAATTAATGCAAATTTTTATAATTTTTATGCAATTATAATGCATCAAAATGCCTTCATGCGCAGTGAAGTGGTGTGGGAAACATTCCAGGACAGATGTCCAAAAATAATGGAGTAACTTTTCATTGCTAAGTACAGTACAAAATATGAAAATTATTGTTGATTAATTCAGATTATGAGCCACCGCAGGGGTCTATCTAAAACGGTGGCCGGGTAAATAACGACATGGTTGAGTCGCGCGTTGATGTCTTTTGGAAAAGTCTCGTTCTATTATTAGACAATTCTTATGCTTCTATCCCTTTCTTTCCCTTTGTATGTTTATCGTAAACATTAGTACTTACTGTTACCTTTAATAGCTGAAAGTCGATATCGAAAATAACAAAATTATTAAGATTATTCAATTCACACACTGTGAAAAAATACTTATCTACTTTTAACCGTCTTCAGAAAAAAGAGGAGGTTCTCAGTTTGTCGGTATTTTTTCTTAGTTAAAGTTTATAGTTAACTAGTTAAATTAGTTAGATTGGTGTACCAAATCAGAACGGCTTACAATTTTAAAAAGACACTAAAGACAAGTCATTGTACGGATCCACTACAGTAATAGATATTTGTCGTCGTTGTAAAATTTTTAATAATAGGGCGATCAATGAGAGTGGTTCAAAAGTACTGTCTTCGAAATATAATACCAATTATTTTATGAGAACGGTTTTAAAATCTCTGATTAGGTATTATTGATTCCTGGATATTTCATCAATATGTAATAGAATCAACAAATCATTTAATTGAATTAGCAAGATGCATAATTTACAAATTTAACGCTTGTTTATATTTTTTTTACAAAGAACAATCAGGACCCCTAAACTTTAATTCGAAATAAATATAAAAAATTATTCATTTTAAAAATCAATAATAATATAATAAATACATGTTTTCGTTTAACTGATTGATTTTGATTAAATATTATTTATATGATTTTAATTGAGTATTTTTCATAATGATAAAATCCATTTTATCGATAACGAATATTTTCCTTTATTAAGAAGAGCAACCCTAAAGATAGCCATAACAACGCAACTTGACCATTTGCAGCCACGCGTTCCTCCTCGTCCCCCGGCCCGCAGTAGTGAGTCGTACGCTTAGAAGAAATCTGCCTATACGCTCTCTAGTGGTTATATTCTCTATGCGGTAGGCGTAGTGTAGAGCGACCCCCCACTAGATTTAGTGACGACCTGGTAAGACATGCAGGAAGTCGATGGATGCAGCTGGCTCAGGACCGTGCTTTGTGGCATTACTTGGGGGAGGCCTATGTTCAGCAGTGGACTTGTGAAGGACTGTAATGATGATGATGATGAAGGATAATTATATCCATTTACCTTTAAACTAAAAATAGCATTGTATAAAATAAACAATGTATAGATAAAATGTATAGATAAGACGAATACAGCGTTATACAAACAGCAAACAAATAAATATATGTATGGGTGACATATTTATCATTTTTATTAGTTTTAAAGATCTGTAACTGACTTTCTGTTGTTTGTTATTTTTCAGTTACCCGGCTTCTTAAAGATCAAATTTAGTCTACTATCCTTACAATGTAATTACTTATCCTTACATTATATTAAAACTGCATAAAAATTTACCAAGTGCAAACAATTTAAAAGTACAAACAAACAGATAATCGCTGATAAACGGTTAACGGTATAAAATATTTAGAAAAAAAATAGAGGTGTAAATAAATATTTAACGAAAAATCACATTTCATTCCCATTTCGGTAAAACTAGGTAAGCCAAACATAATAAATTATCGATACAAAATAGAAGTGTCACGTCACTGACTCGCGCTCGACTCCTGCGGCCATAGCGTAGACAGAGAAACCTATAGACAAATTTACGCCTTCTTTCGCATTCGCACACGAAAAAGATAGATTTATGCATATTCCCGTCTTGCATAGAAATGAGATAGAGCGGTGTGATTGTTTATCCCTTTCTCCGTGCCGGTTTTTTTTTAACAACTTTAACAGCGTAGCGATTTAAGGAGTTTAGAAGTTGGTTTAAGTGAGAAAAAAGTGTTTTGTGACCTTAAGATTGGTGAATCTTGTTCAGTTCAATTCTTTGAACAATTAAAATTTTTATCTAAATGTGTTTAAAAGTCGTAAAGATTATTGTATAACCTAAAAATTCGTTATCGTCCTTTCTCATTTGAGGCCACGCCGATCATTAGTCTATAGGTTTCTCTGTCTACGGGCCATAGGTATTCTTGGAAATTTACGTAGGCGAAAATATTGTTTATTGCCTATACTATAAATCCATCGCTGCTTTTAGCTGTCGTATAAATGAACGTAGACATGAACTAGCTTAAGAATCAATGGATATCGAAATGTGAAAACAATTACATTTTCAGAGATAATCGTAGTACTGGAGGTGAATAATTTTATTTAAGTATATTTAATTAAAAAATACAGTATTTAAAACATTAAGTACTTACTTATGAAATGTTATCCCTTTATTTGAAAATTTAAAAGTTGCGGAAGAATTTCCGCAGTTGGATATGCTGCAAAACACCATTTTTACGTCTCTGCGTCCGAAACGACACTGGTGACCGAACAAAACAAACGCTCCTCGCGCACTTGTGGCCTACGAGTCACATGTGCGGCGACAAGGTCACACGCTTTTACGACTTCTATTGCCTTATTATTTCGATTTCTATGCATCACATCGACAGCCTCTTTAAGAACACAGCTGAACAAATAATATACTTGCATCAAAGGAAAGATTTACTAATACTCACCACGTTAAAAATTCACTATAAACAGGCCGTTTAACGTGGTGCTTTGAGCAAATAGAACCTGGTGAGCACAAAGCATCAGCTCTCAACCAGACTGTTATCACCCTCGCAATGGTGGGTCCAAACCACCATCTTTTGTGAAAAATGGGTGATGCATTAGGGTCTGCAGTTTTACATTTTTTTTCTTCGATCACACCAACGTTTACACCGCAACCTATGTTTGTGAAAAAAATTACATTATTACTATTTTGCGCCCCAAAAAAACAAATACTGGCAACAATACCTACTACTAAAAAAAATACTTTTAAACTTGTCTTCACATAATTTTAAAACTATAAAAACCTTAAAAATCTCATCTCCGTCTTCATCATAACGGAATTGATATTATACCAATTAAAAACTTGTTTATTAAATACAAATTTGTATTTTATTTATGTCTCAGTAAATTTTTTTCCTTAAATATATGGCAGTTAGTCTGTTAAGTTATGGACCAACTATTAAATTGAATCTTGTGTTTTCCACATACGAAATTAATATTCTAAAATCAAAACCAAAATAATAATTCAAAAACGTGTTCACCGTTACTGAACTTCTGCACTTCTTTGATAAATTATTATTGCCAGTACCATTGTGAATAATATAAAGCGCGTAATATTAACACATCGACATGCGGGTGTAGTGGTCGTAAGCGCGACTGCTGTGATGAGGTCCGATGTGAGGGGGTTTGATTTCATGGTCGGATGAAAATCAGTTGTTGGTTATTTCTTTATTTTATGGAATAAAGGTGGGTAAGTGCACCTGATGGTATGTAGATGCTGGGGCCCGTGAACATCTACATCTATCCTCGATTAAGAATTAAAATGTAAATGCGTTGCCACCCCTGAGGACTAAGATGAAATGCCTCATTTCTAGTAAAAATGGTATTCTGTGAGAGTGTGGTCCTTACCCGGTCGAGCCGACCCATTCGTGCTGAAACCGTAATTTAGCTGCAACGTGGCTCCACCACATACGTTTCTGTCAAGAAATTCTTAATGGTAGCCTAGAGTCAGGATGCTTGCGGTGTTTCACCCGCGTGCCTCCGAAATCACGTTAAGCATTATATTCGACTAATCGTTCATACATACATTTCTGCCTATAATGCGTCGTAAAGGATATAAGGCTATATACACAATGACAACAGCAATATGCATTTACAATAGACATGTATCCTATTTGTGTCACTACCTGTGTTCATTCATTCCTGTGTTCGTTCATGTTCATCGTATGATGAAATGATCAGATGAACCCCGACTTAATCAGGGACTGTAAAAGATCGAATATGATAATCCAGTAAAATCTGTCCCTGATGTTGTTTGTCTTGTTATGGTATTAACAGAACTATCGAATTTGGTCCGCTCCGAACCACGAATTTGGTAATTCCGTAGAAAATATATTCGTGAAGAAATTAGTCTGTCGACAAAAATTATGATTGTTTTGTGTCTTTGTTCTAATGGTTTACTCGCAAAACTTGGTCCCGTCAGTACCAAGTCCGCTCGTGTGTACCGTCGGACTACACAAACCGCCAAATTTTACCCACCTACCTACTTTTAATATTACAGTTGGACGATTCGATCTTCAAATTATATAAGCTCTATTAATTTCAGGTCCAGCAAAGCGCCACCATGCAACCGTCGTTACGGGGACTCAAAGCCTGCACGAACTTAAGGTGGAGCGACTTTAACGTTCAACCGCTAAATAAAGGATTTACAAAGGCAGGCAAACGCGTGTTCTACTCAGCGATATGGAACTCCAACCAGGGACCAGTTAACGTCACTCTGATGCTGTACAAGGATCAAATGGCGTCTCAGATCGTTTGCCAACAGTCTATACAACCACAGACGCTCAGTTTGAACGCCATCACGGAGTTCTGCGATTTAGTGCCACTTCAGCAGTTCGGAGAGGAAGGCGAGGATTTAGTACAAGGTGAATGTTTTTTAATATTTTTTTTCGGGCGTCGGAAGCGGTAACTGTACGAAATGTCAGAAAAGCCATATATGTATGTCTTCTATAAAATTTTGATATAACCATCTCTTTTACTCTGGTATAAAGTACCAAGACCGGAGTCGGGCAGCAGCACCAAAGGTGCTCACGTCTGATACTGCGCTCGTCAATCCTTTTGCTAAGTGTGACGATTAAGGTAAATCCTATACGACGAGACAGGCGCACTTTCAGCAGTGGACATTTACAGGTCGATAAATAAAGAAGATAGATGTTTTCCAGAGAAGTAATCCGTTTTTGACGATCTCGTGACCTAGTAATAGGCTACTACGCCACGGGTTCAAATACCAGTTGAATTTAAACCCGTTTTCATGTCTGATTGTCTTCTATTTGATCGCTCATCTCTATAACAATATGTTAGTTATTCAACCTTATCGCTAAAGCGTTGCTTCGGACACGGATAGGTTGGAACGACTTACTGACTCTAAGTTTACGTGTACGTATGTAGTATAATTTATCCTCTGCAAAGTTTGCACGTAATTTAGTCAGTGGATATTGGATCTCTACTGTCAGAAGCAAGGACTTAATCATAGCACTTCCTGAAGTTTTCAATCTCGACAATCTACTCGGAATTGTGAGTCAAAGTCACTAGTCATTTATTTCATTTAGCAATATTACATTGTATTGGAAATTTATTACACGAAATAAAATTAAACCGTTGCATTCAATTAACATAAATAAAAGTACCTGGATGACCGAGCCTTGCTCGGTATTTTTTCTAATCGTGTGTTTTGGAAATTATATTTAGATACAAAGTACATACTGATAAAATATGAATAATATTTTAATCTTACCGACATAATAGAAAAAACTGAACTGTTTATTTGAATAAAAAATCATAAGTGCAATTAGTTTAATTTAAATTTTCGTGTTTTTAACAAATACTTAAAAAAGTCTCGAAATAATAGATTTTATCAAAAAAAAGCAACTTGAAATAAAAAGGAAAATAAATCGGGCCAAAGACGGGACTCGAACCAGGATACTACGATTTCGGAACCGCTCGATATCCCGTTTGAGCTATTATAACCATTAACACGCTGTCAAAATTTTTATTTACTTTTTTTTATTAATTACCTTCTTATTCTAACGATATTGTAGCAATTTTTCATTGCCTGAAAACACGGATAAAACATCATTTTCTAAAAATGAATCCTAGCTAGATCGATTTATTGCCCCCGAAACCCCCTGAACACAAAATTTTATGAAAATCGGAGCCGTTTCCGAGATTCCGATTATATATGTATATACAAGAATTGCTCGTTTAAAGGTATACATTTCAGACAGACATTTCCTCCCGACGCTAATACGCCACTTTGGTAAATATCCCCCCTATGAGGTAATCTATGGGGGAGGCCTATGTTAAGTAGTGGACTTTAATAGGCTGTAACGGTAACGGTGACGGTCCCAATTACGCGACATCTGGTGGACGTGATTTAAGCCTTCATTGACGTTGAGTGAGTGAAGTTGTGTATAAACCACATTCTATTTTTATATGCTGTTACCATTACCCCACCAATCGATCGATTTTGTCGATCGATGTCATTGATCGACATCGATTGGTGTGGTAGCTTTAGCTAATCGCCGGATACTGGTCGATAAAACGTTGTGCAATCATCGATCGACAATTAATGGATGTGGTTGTGGCAGTAGTGTAGCGTGCCTTAGACGGGCCTTTTATCAAAATTTAATGGGGGGGGCCCAAATAAAGGGTAAAGATTTTTCACAAGTGGAAAAAAATCGCATTGAATTAAAATAAAATAAAATATAAATTGATTATAAGTTTTTACTTACAATTAATACTCCTAGGAACTGGTTTGTCATTGTCATTTACTTAAACGGGGGAATCCCGCAATAACTGATCTGTGCTGACAGACACGCGCTGCGGATTTAGTAATCTTAATTTTGACTTTCATAATTTTAGAAGTGAAAACTTCTTTAGGCTCGTTGAGCACTTTTTATAATAGGTATGACTTTTTCTCGGGAAGTACGGCCTAAGAGTTTAAGTGTGATTGTGGATAGAATTTTACGAATTTTTGCTTACATAGATTCGGGGCCCCTGTAAACCTCATATCATTGATACGGCTGTTACGGCGATAGCTACGCCCCTGGGTTGTGGGCACATCATCAGTATCTTTGAAAATGTATTCAGAAGTTGACGGGTTATTGTTACCCAGTACGCTCTTGTCATAACAATACGTTATTAAGGAGACACATACGCAAAAGACTTTGGGTGCGACCGTTTTTAAGGCCAGAAATAGCTTAACTTTATCTAGACATTTTAAATAGCGATCGGTGGAGCGGGGCGGGTTCTCGAATATTCAAGCAACTCGATTGACGTCGACTAATCCATTCTATCATTGATCTATCGGTGTGGTGAAAACTATCGATGAACGTTGAATAATCTATTCAAACTTCTATTGGTGTAGTAACACCCTTACCCTGCGCGCATAGTATTTTTACTTCGTCATTAGAAATACCTAATGAATAAATTTATTTCCAGCAACAATTGTGGTACTTGGGCAGGCCCAGGTGGACACGATCCAGTCATATGGGGAATACCTCCACTCGACCGAGGGTCTAAGCAGCAAGGAGAACCAACTAGTGCAGACTGAGCAGATGCACGAGGCAATCTTCATGTTGCTGCAACTTATCAACGGACTCAAGTTACTCCAGGCCCGGGGGGGTCGAGGAGATTTCGGACTCCCTCACCTCCTTTATATCCTTGAAGGAGCAGCAGCCGATGGTGTCCCATGGAAGCACCCTCAACCTACCATCACCTGACGACAGACTAAGCTCGCTCTGGGCACCCAAGACCAACTCCTACGGGCGACTATGCATTCTACAGGGGTTAGTAACGACTTATATTAATTTCAAGATTTTAACCGACTTCAAAAGAAGGAGGTTTTCAAAGTTTTAATAAGTGGTAGGACAGTGCTTACACTGCTAAATTTCTGTTGGAAAAGTATATATTGCCGATATGAATACAGGCCATGTGACATCCTATCTCAGTCCTCAAAGATAACAACTCATCTGGAGCTTCCTTTGTTTAAAGTTTGGTTTAAAGATCTTTATTTACTCATTAAGAATAATGTCACTCACATGAGTACATTCATACAATTTAAAATAAGTCACACAGAACAAAATAATGAAATAGTAACCATAAATTAGGGTATAGATCAAAATTAAATAGAAGTTACAATTTAGCTGCGTAAGAGCAATGTTTCAAGTATCGATAATATAAGACGGTGGTCCAAGTTATAAAATTGCTTGTTTTTTAATGTGGTCTAATAATTTTTTCTTGAAAATATTGAGCGAACTTGCATCTTTTATAGTTTAACGGAGTTTATTATACGGCTGTGCACCCGCAAATATTATAGTTATTTGCAGGTGTCCATGGGCTGGTCTAGTCACTCGCCAAGAGATGGACTGTAAGTTCTTCAGTCAATTCGTTTTGTATTAAAAAATGTAAAATAGTTAAACTGACGTCGAATATGTTTTTTTTTCATCATTTAAACAGCCAATCGAAGGCCGCTGCTAAACTAACCTCTCCATAGATTGCCTAATAATAAAAAAAGCAAATATCCCCCACATTTGCTATAGTTGGCACGCTTGGCAGGTGAGATTAGGGTTGCCAACTTTTTTTGACAAAAAAAACGTATAAAGTGGTTTGGATATGAAAAATATAAAGTATTAGGAAAAAAAAGTATTTTTCAAATTTTATGTTTTTACTGCTTTAAACACGTATTTTTGTGTGCTTTTAGCACACGCTAATAATTTTTTGTTGTCTTTAAATGTTACAAAGCTTGTTTGACAATCAACGTTTAAATTTAAATAAATAATTTTTTTAGTTATTTTAGCTTTTTTAGGAGTCACTGGTGTGTCGCTATCAGAATTACTCGTCATTTTCAGCATTAATATTTACTTTAAAATGCATTCTTCACTTATAAACAAAACTAACGGACCAGTTTTGTACAATTTCGTCGATAGTGAGAGACATCTGTGACAAACGTCACAACTGACATCTGACATCTAATAGGCCTTTCCAATTCACGCCAACAGTTCCGTTCCGAATCAACCGTAAGCGTGCTGATGACAACGCTAACGCTACCCATGGTCGCGAGCGTAATCACTGTTGGCGCTGTTGGCGTGAATCGGAAAGATAGGTAACATTTCGTTCAACAATTATAAGTCGTTAAGTACCCATGATGAGTATGTTTTACGCATCACAATAAAGGTTAAAAATAAAGTATTTTTGCATACTTTATTTGTATGTAAAAGTATAAAGTATAATTACCAAAAATAAAGTAGGATACGTTATTATAAAGTATGGTTGGCAAGACTAGGTGAGATCTCAACCACATTTTTTACTATCTAGTTCTTATTAAAAAAAGTGGACATATAACCAAGTTAAATAAAGAATAATATTAAAAAAAACGAGTTGCATTTTCAATAGTGGAGTTACATTCTAAACCAAACGATATTATGCAATAAGATCAGCAGTGCGATTGTGTTACACCACTAGGCATCCTGGTTGGCTGCGTTTTGAGTTTTGACGCTTGGCGTTTGGTTTTGTTGTATTGTGTAAATGTATCACTAAGCGATCGTTGTAGTTGTCGCACAGAAATAAACAAGAACATTTTAAATAGTTAAAAAAAAGTTGTAAAGTTACAGCCTGTATACGTTCCACTGCTGGGCACAGACCTCCTCTCACTTCTGAGAGGGTTTTAGGGCGAGTTCTTCACATGTCTTCGAAGGTTACCTCACGCTGTTATCCTTCTCCGCCGAGCACGTGGTAAATCAGCACTTAAAATTGCAATTAAGAATATCATTGGTGTCGGCGGGAATCGAACTCAGGTAGCTTGCGTACTGTGAAATTTACAACTAGCACTTAGCCTACACACAAAAAATAGTTAAAAATATATAAAAATTAAAGAATACTGCTTTGAGAAATATTTGTATCGAAAAACTTCTATACGTCGTAGAGCCACGCTGCAGCTATTATGGTTGTAGCATGAACGGGTCAGCTCGACCGGGGTAGGACCACGCTCTCACAGAATACCAGAGTAAAATAGCGGCTTAATGCTGCTGTATTTCGTATCACCATATGTGACTGTAGAGAACCGGAGACCCGTTATACTGGAATTGAGGCATTCGATCTTAGTCCTCAAGCGTGACATACCATCAGCATTTTGATTCTTAATTGAGGTTAAATGTAGATGTCTATGGGCCACAGCATCCACTTACCATCAGGTGGACTGTGTGCTCAATTGTTACCCTTATCCTATAAAAAATATTGCATCTTTTTAATGATGATACCGCTGTGTAACCCCACCTGCGTAACAAATAAGTTCACCTTAATACCCAACGACGAATAAAATCACTCACCATATGTCGCTACATCTAGTGAGTGATTATTTGTCCTTATTAAATGGTAATGAGAGGAAGCCTGTGCCCGGCAGTGAGGCGGTTACCAAATTACCACCCTCTGCTAACGGCTATAAGACCTTAAATTTAGAAGACTTACAACATTCACCGGACGAGATAACATGATAGAATCTAATGATTTCTTATATTTACGCGAACACTACACATTGAAATAATACTAGTTTTTACGGAATTTATCGCGTTTATTTAACTTTTTAAATGCCCGTCATTTCGAGCGCTTTACAGCACCGCCGGGGGTTAGGTTTTTTTTTAGAATCTGTTGCGACATCACTACACTGTGATATCGGCAAATGTTTATACATTTCTATAAAATATATTTTATTGCACTTACACTTACTTATTTAACTTTACAATGTTCCTTATTACAGATTGAGTGACGAAGTCAACTGCAGCAAATCAACTGACGAGGAGCAACACAGCTCCCTATGTAAATGTGCGATCAAAGCCGTCGAAATTCTCTTACCGGGGGAGAAACTAACCCCTCTCCTCAAGGAAGTGTTACAAGAAGAAAGGGCCATATCCTTGAACCAGGCGAAATCCGTCCTGGAGTTCATGCTATGGGGGCCGCTTGACGTTGTCCAAGGCGTTCCCGTTGAAGAAAGAGAACTGTCTCTGCAAAGATGGCTGGATCTGGAGAGGGCGACGGTTTTGCATGGCTTAGTAAGGACAAGGGTACAGTTAAATGTGTTCGAGCAGCTGCATTTGATGTTCTTAGTGCGATCGACGGCAAAAACTATGTGCGATGCCTCAGTTTTGTTGGAGAAGGCGAACGTATACTGATTTGTACATTTATCTAAGCTTCAAGATGGATGCTTTATTAAATTGTTTTAATTTCTCTTATATTAGAAAAGAAATGTGTTTTTTGATTTTTCGAATCCGATTCGGATTTATTAAATAATCGATTTACATTTGGCATAGTTTTGAATTTATTGTATTAAAATGTCTTATTTTATGTTGAAGTAAAAAAACCTATCGTTATCAACTTTGGTCTTTCGAGCCGGCATTGCATTATTCAAACGCCATACATGTTCTTGTTTTTTTATATTATAGCAATATACAAAGTGTAGATAGTCACGCACAAATATATATTATGCATCCATCTATAGTTATTATACAATTAGTGTTAAGGCACCTGTAAGAATTATTGTGTTAAAAATATTAGTTTTTGTTCCAAAAATACAACTCGACGGATTTTTCATGATGAATTGTCTAAATGCAACCGAGAACTTAATTATAGTAGTATTATAGATATACATATATACGAATGGCAAGCAAACAATATAGAAATACGCAGTATACGTGTTATGTCAGTATTACCGTTGCTCAAGTATGTTTGGAACAAAACCTGAGACACTTCAGTGCCAACATTTAAGAACTGAAACTATATACTCATTGAATGTAGTGATCCGGTGCCTTATTATCATGTATTATATATAAGCTTATTGTAAATTAGAAAGTGTAATTTATTTTATGTCTATAAATATTTAGTAGTGTTCGATTAAACACTAAGTGCAAAAATATGTTTAATCTCTGTATTAGTTTTTAAGAGATCATCGAATATAAATATAAAAGTTTCTATGAAAAATGTTTGGTTTTATTTATTCAAAACAATCTGATCTACTTGATGCATGTTAAAGTGTAGTCCCAGAAAGATAGTGAAAGTAAATATTGCTATAATGAAAACGTGTCGTTAACTTCTCTAGTTACGTTTCACATAACAATGGACTTGTTAACATTCTGTTGGATTCTGCTACAATAGGTTTGCTTTGTAAACATTCTATCTTTCATCATCATCATCATCAGCTTGCGGCAGTCCACTGCTGGACATAGGCCTCTCCCAAGGCATTTAGCCCGATCTTCGGCTACACGAATCCAGTTTCTATCGACCACCTTGCGCAGATCGTGGCTCCATCTGGTCGGGGGATATCTATCTTTACATTCATTTATTTATTACAAGCCTATCAAAAGTCCATCGCTAAACATATGTCTGACCTATGGCTGTGTTCCGAAATGATCCCAGTATACTGGCGAATGCGAATGACGTCATTAATTGAGCCATATTGTAGTGGCGTGCCGCCGCCGTATTGTGTCGGATATCCCGCCGTATTAAAACAATTTTTAATTATGTGTACGCTGAATGAAGCATGCCAGAGTTTGTGTATTGATTCAAATACAAAATATTACAGAATTAATGATTTCTTAAATTTACGCGAACACTACACATTGAATAAAACTATTATTTACGGATTTTATCGCGTTTAATTACTTTAATTTATTTTTATTATTATCCCGAAGTTTCGGGTGCTTTACAGCACCCATGGTCACTCACGAAAAATTAAATCTCGACGTGACTTCGCTAATACCATCCTGTACCAAACCACCGAGGTTGTATGGGTTGCCGAAGATACACAAACCAAACGCTCCACTACGTCCTATAGTGAGTCAGATCGATTCACCAACTTATAAGCTGGCACAACACTTGGCAAAAATACTGGCACCACTGAGAGGACATACCAGAGCACACACAAAGGATTCATACCATTTTGTTAGTGAGATAAAAGACCTACATCTCGCTGACAATGAAACTATGGTCAGTTTTGATGTTCAGTCACTATTCACATGCCTACCTATTGAAGACTGCATCTCAATTGTAACTAGGAAGCTAGAAGATAACAACATGCCTGCTGAATATGCAGTATTACTTAAACATTGCCTCACATCTGGCTATCTATTGTGGAAGGAAGAGTTCTACAAGCAAGTAGACGGTGTGGCGATGGGCTTACCTGTATCTCCCATAGTCGCCGACATATTCATGGAAGACTTCGAGGAGAAAGCCCTTCTTACTGCTCCTGTAAATCCAAGATTCTACAAGCGGTACGTAGACGACACTTTCACAATTTTACCATCTGACAAAGTAACTGCATTTTTAAACCACCATAACTCTATAAACTCTAAAATACAATTCACAATTGAGTTAGAGGCAAATAATTCTTTAGCTTTCCTAGATGTTTTAGTCATTCGAAATCCTGATAACACTATTGGTCACACTGTGTATAGAAAAAAGACCCCTACCAACCGATATTTAAATGGTGAATCTCACCATCATCCTTCACAGTTAGCTACCGTGGGTAAATCTTTGTTTCAGAGAGCACGAGGGATCTGTGAAAGAAAACATCTGGCCGCCGAACTTCAGCATGTCAAGCAAGTGTTGCAAGACAACAAGCTTCGGATCCCGCGCCTACGTCACAGTGACCGAGTGAAGCCGGCCACAGTCGAGCGTGTGCCTGCTGTACTACCATATGTCAGAGGAGTCACAGACAAGGTTGGCTACATCTTGAAGCGAGCTTCCAAGATTTTTCCGGTAATATCCCTCTACAAGATGCAGGAGTGTACAAGTTAGATTGTGAATGTGGTCTCTCTTACATAGATCAAACAAAAAGATCCATAAAAACCCGCGTGAAAGAACATATAGCTGACGTGAAGCACCGACGCTCCGGGAAGTCTGCAGTCTGTGAACATGTTCAGGATCGTCCCCACCATTACATCAGATTTGATAAACCACAAGTCCTCGCAAAAGAACACCGATTCCTACCAAGGATGATACGTGAGGCTATTGAAATTAAAAAACATCCTAATTTCAATAGAGAAGATGGTTGGGTGCTGCCATCTGCTTGGGATCCTATAATTAACAAAATTAAACCCAAACCCAAGCATACCACTGCAAGACTTCAAGATACACTAAGTTCGTTTTGCGTAAATCGGACCAAAAATTAATATTCAAAAACTGAAGATAGCCGGGCTAACAATGACATTGGGACGTCTAACATCTCAGTCCCCCCCGTGACCATGGGTGCTGTAAAGCACCCGAAACGTCGGGATAATAATAAAAATAAATTAAAGTAATTAAACGCGATAAAATCCGTAAATAATAGTTTTATTCAATGTGTAGTGTTCGCGTAAATTTAAGAAATCATTATGTGAACCAGTACGGACTGGTAATAGCAAATAAAATTCGCCGATTAGAAGATCTTAAAACCAAGCGCGCAAGATATATAACATCTTTAAATTTCTTGAAGAGATGCAGAGACCATAATCTCATTCCTACGTGTGTCAAAATATCAACAAAAAAGGACATTCGAGGAAGCGCTAAGATCCTAAATCAGGCAAGTAAAAAGTTGTTACGAACGGTGATTCAGCAGAAACGGTTCGATTTACATTTCATAAACAACACCATAGACAATTTGTCCAGTGAACTAAAGACAGTTTTAACGACATTTGATTTTAATAATTGCATCGAAACTTTAAACAAACGAGAAACATCAAAATACAATGAATGCAAAAATAAACAAATGAAAATACCAAAAATTAACGATAAATCAACAAATGTAGAACGAAACAGTTGACGTAAACAACAAACAACGCACGGTTATAATTGTAAAACATACACTGGACGAACCGACAATAAGGTGTTAGCGAAAGGAAGAACTTCGCATTAACACCGCGAAAAATCCCGTACGAAGAAATTATCTGCAGTGTTGAGGATTGTCTGTTTAAGAATAATATCGGTAAGGAAGATTTGGAGGCTATACGTCAAGATATTTCGTCCTTGTTACTTCGTAGTACAGTGCCGAAACCAAACCTTCCTAAAGACGAATTTACAGCGTTGATTAACTTACGGAACAGACCAGAGTTAACGATTCTCCGCGCGGATAAAGGAAACGCTACGGTAATAATGGACACGTCAGAGTATAGTTTTAAAATACTACAGCTTTTATCGGATGAAAGTACATATAAAAAGGTCAAAACAGACCCCACAACTAACACGCTTAAAGCAACTAGCGATTTAATAAAGAAATACTCCGAAAAATTAAATCTCGACGTGACTTCGCTAATACCATCCTGTACCAAACCACCGAGGTTGTATGGGTTGCCGAAGATACACAAACCAAACGCTCCACTACGTCCTATAGTGAGCCAGATCGATTCACCAACTTATAAGCTGGCACAACACTTGGCAAAAATACTGGCACCACTGAGAGGACATACCAGAGCACACACAAAGGATTCATACCATTTTGTTAGTGAGATAAAAGACCTACATCTCGCTGACAATGAAACTATGGTCAGTTTTGATGTTCAGTCACTATTCACATGCCTACCTATTGAAGACTGCATCTCAATTGTAACTAGGAAGCTAGAAGATAACAACATGCCTGCTGAATATGCAGTATTACTTAAACATTGCCTCACATCTGGCTATCTATTGTGGAAGGAAGAGTTCTACAAGCAAGTAGACGGTGTGGCGATGGGCTCACCTGTATCTCCCATAGTCGCCGACATATTCATGGAAGACTTCGAGGAGAAAAGCCCTTCTTACTGCTCCTGTAAATCCAAGATTCTACAAGCGGTACGTAGACGACACTTTCACAATTTTACCATCTGACAAAGTAACTGCATTTTTAGACCACCTTAACTCTATAAACTCTAAAATACAATTCACAATGGAGTTAGAGGCAAATAATTCTTTAGCTTTCCTAGATGTTTTAGTCATTCGAAATCCTGATAACACTATTGGTCACACTGTGTATAGAAAAAAGACCCATACCAACCGATATTTAAATGGTGAATCTCACCATCATCCTTCACAGTTAGCTACCGTGGGTAAATCTTTGTTTCAGAGAGCACGAGGGATCTGTGACAGAAAACATCTGGCCGCCGAACTTCAGCATGTCAAGCAAGTGTTGCAAGACAAAAAGCTTCTGATACCGCGCCTACGTCAC